ACAGTGGGAGATCTCGCTGCCACCGCCGTTGATTAACATCACCTACGATCCGAAGCAGCACGCCAATGTGATTGAAGAGATGAAGATCGTGACGTTGAAAGGTGATGAAGTTTTCTCAGCGATACGAGAAAAGCTGACGAGTCTGCAAACGGACCTGGAAGGCTTGAACCTCGCCAAACAACAACTAGCTAAGGATCAGCAATACTTTAAGAACAAGATTGAAGAGATCCAATTGAAGCTAACATCACCAACACTAGAGAATAAGAAGCTAGAAGGTAAAACTTCCGAGAAACAGGTGCAAGGGCTGATGTTCAGGATCGAGGATGGCATTGTAATACTTAAACGGCTCATTGCGGAAGCTGTGTCCACGTGGAATAGCAAATTGTCGGAGATATCAGCCAAAAAGAAGGACGAACGGCCACGTCGATTCACCGAACGATCTATGACAGTTGGCAGTAACAGTATAGTCGAAACCGACGGATACATAACTGAAGATACCGCATCGGAGTCGCAGGTCGAAGATTTGAGCCCTATGTCGGCCGATTACAATGCTGTCGACGCGATCGCAGCGGCACAAAGTGACTTCCAAGTATCCGAAGTGATCGAGAATTCTGACAATGAGCCAGTAGAATCCGCTAATAATCCCGAAGACGTCGTCACTGTTCAGGGCTCACCGAAAATGCATCAGAGATCACATTCCGACGTTCTACCGCTGTCTTCCGATGACATGCACGATAAAAAGAAGAAGAAAAAGACAATTCTATCGCAATTGCTGCCGTCTGTTTCTGTGAACCATACAATTTCGAATCCTTTGGGATCCTTAGAACATTACCTGTTGCCTCTTGGGTATGTTGATTCATAATCTCGAATCTTGTAATATTTATAGTACAGTAATGACAAATTCCAATCCAATTTCGAATCAAAATTTTAAACTACAACAAAAATGGTAAAATAAGATTGTCAGTGTAGAAGAAAAAAGAAATTCTCAGATAAAAATTCCTTTCAACTCTAAAAATGATATCTAAAAATGCTATTATTTTGCACAGAAATTTGAATGAAAATATTTGGGAAATCAGAAAATTCTTAGAAAATATTTTCAAAAGTTAAGTGTTCATTAAGTGAATGTTTCATAAAATAAAAGATGACATTTTTTTAATTATAAAATATTTACTCTTTGCTTAATTTTTACTTGATTAAATCAATTGTGAGAGTATTGTCGTTAAGAAAATTTAATTTTAACAGTTTTAGATATATATATATA